GTGGACTGCAGTTTCGACCTCGCATCGGTCTTATCAACACCTCCAGCGGAAGTCGAACCGTGACAGTGCAAAATGGGAGCTTGACACGTCAACCACTCGACCACATCGCCACGAGTGCCCTTGGGTCATGATGCAGATTTCCCATATCACATTCTTGGGTGGGATTGTCATTGAAGCAAACCTATTTTTGCTATAGCATTCGAATACGTTACTTTATTTTTCGCGTTTAAGTAGACTTTCTCGACTATCAGTAAATCAGTAATATGAGATATATTCACCCAATTTCTTTAGGGTGGTAGAATTTTCCCACAGTGACATGAGTAGAGCTGACGTTTCCATTGAATTTGACAGACCCAGCCCTGCTCATATCATTGTGGGAAAATTCTACTACCAGTCCTTCATTAACTTACACGAAATAGTATGAATACATTTCATATTACTGATTTACTGTTAGTCTCGAAACTATTCTTTTATACGAACATAGACTCACTAAGTTTTTATTCAGCATTTCTGGCTGGTCGGCAGCCCCACTTGCAGCTTCGGCAACGTTCATCTGACCGACGTACAAATCCCACTGCAGAGCAAGGCCTTTAGAGGCGTCAGCAAGAACAGTTAGCCAATTCATCTCTTCGTTTACTTTCTCCAAATGGGAAGCATGTGCTAGAGAGTTTAAAAACTATCGGTTATTCTTGAATAAAAACTTTGCCAATTAGGTTGCTTGAGGTTGATTAAATACTGGCATGGGAATTTTGTCCACAATTCTATGAGTTGGCCTTAAAATTCCATTTAGTTTCACTCGGCCTTACCTACCGAATGTTGAACTCCTCAAGCCCGGACTGCAGACACGACCTCTCCTGCTTCGTATCGCGTGCGCTCCTCACGGGATTAGAAACCGGTTTGGGCAAGTTTACTGTCGACACATTTTATCAGACTGCCACACAGCCATCGGCTCAATGGGTCACAGGGCAAATGGGCATTTCAGGGCAAACTCCTATTTATAATGCGTTCGTCTTTGAGGTAAACATATTTCGTTGGTACACTCGACGACGTTACTTATATTCATTATGAGCATGTCTTGAAAATATCATCAATACCCCCAATATCCGTCCTTGAAACAGCTTGTCTGATCAGGAGTGACTGAATTCTTGCACAATTTCCAGCCGGCTCTGACTAGTTTACTACCGACTTTATCAGGACTGTTTGAGGGTCGTGGAGTTCGTCAGAAGAGTGTAGAACTCAAATTCTACGATTAATTATTGGGTTCTAGGTTGACTTGACTTCTATTTCAAAGCCAAAGTAGATAAGGAAGTAAGGCTTAGTTCCATCTCGCGAGAAGATGAAGTCGTCCGGCTTTACTGGCAAGTTGAGGTTAGCGCAGACAATCTATTTCGATCACAATGGAAACATGGTGTGTGTTCAATTGTCATGTCGGTTGATAGACATCATTAGGGCAGGTACGCATTCATATGAGAACCTCGAGGTTAAAACAATTTAAAACAACTATCCGGCTAGTATTTTCTTGTCAAATATACCCACAAAACAGCTCAGGCAACGAAGAGATGATGAAAATTTGGCTATTGGTTTACTTTAATTTTTATATTAATGCATATCTCTGTTTTTTTATTAAAGTATTTATGTAATTACATGTATACATGCATATTTATATAAATTTATGCATGTAAGTATGCATGTATATATGTATGTATGTATATATGTATGTATGTATGTAAGTATGTATGTATGAATTTATATATTTTTGCACGTATGCTTATGTGTTTGTGTATATATGTATGTATGTATCTATTTATGCATGTATATATGATTGTATGAATTTATGTATGCATGCAAGTATGCATGCATGAC